AGATGCCCTCTCAAACTAAAAAAAAAATAAAAAGAACCATTCAGGTGTATACTAAGTACCAGGGGCACTGTTCTAGAGGTTGGGATTGGGAATTGAGAGCTACATGAGACAGTCTTCGTGCTCAATAACCTCATAGTTCAGTAGGGTCAGACAAAAGTCATGATTGCAACACACTGGAAAAGAAAATACCACTAGACAACTACAGGGCAGTGTGGGAGCAGTGGGACCAGAGGAGTGAGGAGGAGGAGGAAGAGAGAAAGGACAGAAGGCTCCCTGGATGTAACACCTGAGTGTGTCCTCCAGGATAAAATGCGCTGGCCAGCTGAACCCGCAGGTGGCAGAGAAGATGCACATGGGCGCTGGGGGAGAATTCCAGACAGGGGGAGTAGCACCTGCCAAGCTACTGAAAGGCACAAGGAGGGAAGTGGTAGCCCTGAATAGCAGTCCTGGGAGTACGAAGGGGATATATATGTAGGAGTTGCTTTGTAAGGGCTTTTTAGGTTTTAAATCCTCTCCAAATTGTGATGATGAGTCACTGAATAATTTTAAACAGGGGGATGACTCCATTAGATTCGTTTTTTTGAATCTGGAAGCAATGTAGAGGACAAAGTGATATCCACCAGTGGATACAAATTAATCAGCACTTAAGGGAACCAAATAGATATTCTGAATAATATCTAAGAAGGTGACCAATTACCTGTACTTTGCACAAGTTCAAGCTAAAACTCTCATCTTTGTGGAATAACTGCCTGCTGAGAACTTTATAAAACAAATAGAATATCTGAGCAATTGTAGTATCTTTTAATTACTTTTGAAAATGTGTACTATTTACACACAATCTGAGACTTACCTCTGAGTCATAATCTGCAAGGATCCAGGGGAAGACAGGGTACTGCATGAGATCATTATAGGATCTGCCAGCCAAAGTGTTCAGATGCATTAAATACTGGAAGTTGCTGATTTCACCTCTCTTGGGAAAGATAGAGATTCATTTAGACCAATCAATTATTTCTACTATGTTCACTTTTTAAAATGTTATATGCAAAATGAGGCAAAGGACAGTTTCTTCTTACAGATTTCAGAATGAACTGTTTTTTTTCCTAGAAAGAACAGAAACATAGCACTTTTCCTATGGTATATATGTTATGGATTATTAAAGTGATTTTAACTATATGATTTATGCTGTCTAACTATAAATTCCAAAGGAACCTGACATTTTTATTAAGCTTACCTCCCATCTCTGAGTCACAGACTTCTCTCCAACCAAAGTGCTAAGCAACCCAGATCTAAAAACAACAAATAATTAAATAAACTGTAGGCAGTGTAATTTTAAATTTGAGTAATTACAAAGTTGAAAACTTTAAGTCACCTGATCCAGACTTCTTCAAACTATGGAGGACTGATCAGTGGGTCATGAAGTTTGTTTAGTGGGTTGTGATCAACATTTGAAATATGAAATAACCACAGACTCAAAGTAAAGGGAAGAGAACATGGAAGGCATTATATATAGTAAAGGAAAATATTTCACTGAATTTTGTTCTAGTGTTTGTAACAGTTTGTGTGACTTGGGATGCAATGTAGTGGACATCATTTCAACTGTGGGTTATGACAAATGAATTAGAAAGACACTGATCTAGTCCAACCTTTTACCTTTTCCAATAATCCTTACATAAACATATTTAAAGACATTAAATTGGAGTAACTGAAATAGTACAGTATATTTTGTACCTAAAAGGTATATGGCCCATTTCCTAACAGAGATGTTGAAAAAGTGATTGAAAATATTAATAATTTATGACAGGAAGGACTGCTATTCAGGTCATTTAAAATTATGGACTTTTTTGAATAGCAAACTTTCCTAGAGTGCTATTAAAAAACTTCTTAACATTCAACAGCTTTGTAATGTTGATAATTAATAATGTGAAGATGGCATATTTGTCACTGAACCAGCATTTACCTATACTTTTTGTCTGTACGGAAATTAATAGATTTTTAAACCTTAGTTCATAAACATCCAGCTCACTAATATAGATACTGCTTTCCACATCTAGATAAATTCTTCTCATCAGCCAAATTGAATACAAAGAATACTATCCCTGGTAAAAAAAAGCTATGATCACCCCTGAACTTTATAAGATGATTAAAGTTGGAAATGAATTTCTAGTTCTTGACTTTGAGCTTTCAAAAGTCATAAGCATAGAAAGTACCAAGAACAGTGAAACAGCAAATGGAAAATTATTTGGCCAGGTGAAAGTACCAGCAATTTGATTGCAAGTAGAAAAAAGGTTCAACGTGCTCTAAGGGAGCCTGTCATTTCCTGTATTTATCTTCACAACACAAATGAAGGAACAGGCATGTTTCCAAGGTTAACAAAAGCATATACTTGGCATTTATATTTGTTAAACCTCAGCTAAAGAAAAATAAAAGCAAAACTTAAAGAAAAATATACAAATGTAATATATTTGGATATACAGACTGGAATAAAATCTTATTTCCAAATTATAGAAACCCTGGTAAAGCTTTAAGTCATATTGTTGCATGCTGTTATGATTAATTTATAGCCCAAAATCATTACTTCTTTTCCAGTGTATTATAAGGGGCTACCAGTTCCTGAAGGCTGTATATGGGGCTGGGTATATGGATTCCTGAAAAGGCATATCATCCAGAAGGACTTTAGGTTAAAAGAAGCTGAAAAGAGCATAAAGGAATCACTGATAGGTTTGAACATATTCAACTGGAGGTTTAAACATCAAAAAACAAAGTTAAGAGGAAAATTGGGTAATTTGCAATAAGTATGCCAAGCAAAGGAGATACATTACAGAGAAAAATCCCACATAGACTGATAAGAACTCAGAAGAGATATTAACTAGATTTACTGTGATCACTTCACAATATACACAAATATTGGAACATTATATTGTACATCTGAAACTAACATGTTGTATGTCAATTATATCTTGATTAAAAAAACAACATCCACCCCCCTACACACACACACAAAAAGAACTCAGGGAAAAAATGGGCACCACTATCGATCATTCACAAAGGAGGATTTTAAATGGCTAACCAACATGAACAGAGCTCAAGATTACTAATACTGAAAGAAATGCACATTATGGAGAAAGCATTTTATAAAATCAGTAAAAATTAAAATGTAATATAAAAAGCTGACAAGCATCTACTGAGATAAGTAAACTTATCCACTCATGGTGGAATATAAACATATAATTTTTATGGCAATCAAGTTGGTGTTGTGTATCAAAAGCCTTAAAATTCATCCCCTCTATTTTACTTAAGGGGACTTTCCCCTAAAATTATAATGAGGAATCACACTTGCAGTATTATTAACAAGGAAACCTGATAAAGATGAAATTATCCACACAAAAAGAAGAATGCTTTATACATATGATAGTTTAGTAAGTAAAAGTAATGTTTCTGAAGTATTTTTAAACTATAAGGAAGAAGCAAACAACTTACCCCTGCTCCACACTTGTGTTTGGTCGTTGCCCAGACACAGACTCTGAACTGTCAGTCAAAGAAGGCACTACAGCCAAAAACCTAGAAAATTTAAAAATAGCATAAAATTGGAAATGAAGTCTTGGTCAGGATCTATTGGGAGCCTAAGAAAGGATGATTCATTTAGGTCTTAATTGTTGCATTTACCCCTCCACTACCCAGTAAATGACAGACAATGGGAGCGTACAGTAATGAGAACACTCTGTTAAAAAAGGGTGAGATGTTGGCTTCCAATGCCAAATATAAAGGGCCACAGCAAAATCTGTCACTCTGGGTTTTTACTGATGTTGCCATATTACCAGAAGAAAGAGCCTTGCAACATCGATTCACAGGAATTGAGTTAAATGAATGAAATCCTAAAGAGGGATTAACAGCTAAATGTTCACATGGCAGCAAGGGATGAGGGCTGAACAAATGACAAAGCAGAGACATCACTAAAGAAATTAAGACACAGACAAGAGAAGAACCTTCCTGTGACAGAGATTTAAAAAAGCTCCCAAGGTCAACATATATTTTTTAAAAGCAAAAGAGAAATATGGGGAAATTCTTGGAACGGAGATGGTCCTTGAACCTGGCACACACTATCTCAGAGGAAGACACTCATTTCCTTAACAGCTTCTCGTTATGAAGAACAGATAATTTCCTAGTGTTGAAAACACTATCATCTTTAGAAATGAGTAAGGTAGCTAAAGTTTCAGTCATTTTTCTTAGCACTTCCCATATGTGAAAGGAGTTTTGGATGACCAGTCACCAGCTTCAGGCACTTTACTTGAAGAACCACTTCATTCCCATGCACTCACAGGTATTATTACTGTATCGCAATTACAAGCAATGCTGTTTGGCCTTAGTCATTCCCAATGGAGGTCATTTGAAATACAAAATTTCCCTTATTAGACGGTTTGCTGGGATCTCTATTACCTTTCAAAGAACAAGAGAAGGGCTCTCCTATCTTGATCAATTCATAAAAGGCTTATCAGCCATGTATTTAACAGAAATATCTTTGAGCACCATGTACATGTACTTTTCTTTTACAAGGTAAATCAGAAACACACTTACCAAAAATAAAATATGGTCAGACTAGATTAACTGCTTTATTTGGCTGTGTTATTTTTTCAAGGGTGAAAGTATCCTGTTTCCCTTCCAAGGCCAGACAAAGTCTCATGTGACTAAAGTTCCTAAGGAACTCAGTCTATGCATTCAACAGCAAGGCACAGCATAGTCTTCTTTTTGGTAAATATGAAAGAAGCCTATTTTGAGCCTGAAGTATTATTTTTTTGATTATAGTTTCATCATCCTTTTATATTTAGAGACATGGGGCTTAAGAGAGAAAAATGGCTTTTGCTGATATCTACTATTAAGTTACCAGAAGGAAAAATGGTATTTCTCAAGAGAATAACATCATTTTAAAAGCTAGTTAGAATTATGTTTCAAGAGGTTGGAAAAAATGAAACAAACATTTTCTTCAAAGAAGTCAATTCACTAATCTGATTCTAGTTGTTTAGAAACTAGGTGAACTAGTACTAGTTTTCCTTCCATCTCTTCCCATATAAAGTATTCCTAATAAACAATACCTTTGATAAACTTTATTTCTAATTCCTTTCTGAAAGGCAAGGAGGTAATTCCGTCCATCTCCAGAGAAAACTTCCACAGCAATAGGCTGAAATGAGCAGAGAGAAAAAGCATTAAGGAAAAAACAGTAAGGTCATATATTAACTTTCCACTATGAATTTCTACAGTGTTTAAGAAGTTTACTAGTCTGAAGAATATTTTGAGTGAAGAATTTTCAGATTACAAAATAAACTGAGTCAACTAATTCTTAATTTGTTTTGCTCAATTTGCTTCTAAAATCTTTAATAGAATAATGATAAAACAAAGTATTTATAAAATTATCATTTTGTATAATGGTACTATGTAATTTCTATATTAAAAGACAATTATATACTGTTAATATGGAGAGTTATAGGGAAAATGGATAACAAAGATATCACTCAAGAGTTAAATTGTGCTTAGTAAGAAAGTGATACATTATACATTGTTATGCAACCCGTGTGGCACGACTCTGTCTATCATACGACCAAATCTAGGGATAATGTGGATTCTATAGAGGGTTTTCACAGCATGTATCTGTTTTAAAATAATACATTCTCTGAATAAAGGAATCTGACAGAACATTCAGTACTACTAAATCCACCCACCTGCAGGAGATACCTCCTCTTATGTACTTCCCTGATATCTTCATATGCAAAAATGCTGCATGTCCTCCTGAGCTGGCTGGGGCCTTGCCTGGCCCCTCTTGGGATGATGGGCTCATGCATACTATGGGCAGCCGGAAGAAGGGAGGTGAACAAACACACGGCAAAACATGAATTCACTGTTCAACAAAGAGTATGTTATTTTCAACATATGAATGCGAGTGGGGAACAACATATCAGAATATTCAGTTAAAAAAATGTTTAAGAGGGTAATCTGTCAGCTACTCAGCATACAAGGAAACCCCTCTGATGAATGTAATTTTTAAAATCCCATTAGTGCTATAAGGGCCAATATATCTACAAGCACAGCAGGCACGGTGCCTAGACTGACATACTTCTGGGGCTCAAGAAAATGTTTGAATTTTTTTAGTATCAGAAGAAAAAAATCATACTTTTAGTCAGAATATCTTAAAATATGAATATATTAATCTTTAAATCAACAGTCCCAAAATATAATTTTTAGCATTTTTATATAGAGGAAGGGACCCAGGACAGTCATAATGTGGCCCTGATTGTTGCTGAAGGTAATTATTTGAAGTCTCCCCCAGGGACAAACTAAGGAGACCATGTGAACATTCACCAGTGTTAGGGGCTCAAAATGTAAATGTTAAAGGAAGACAATATTGACTTCCTAAGCCTTAAGCCTTTTATCTTCCTCTTAGCTTTGTCTTCTGTCTTTGGGTTTTCCATTACCTATTCTCATGTCCATCATAGGACTGGTAGACGAAAAGAAGGATGGATAAAAAGTTAATTTCTGCCTGAACTTCAGTCACCCTGGTCCTAGGGTATCCAGAGGGCATGGACAATCTTCCATTTGCTATTTTGCAGGTTCTTGTATTTTCTCTACAACTGTGCTTACACTGAAAATATTTTTAAAAAGGATAATGTGCAAATTCAGAATAAGTTTATAAATATTAGATTATAGTACAAGGAATGAGGTATCTAATGCTGTTAATGCACAGCAATAAATTTTTATTTAGTTTTCATTTTGATAAATATGGTAAATTTTTCCTATATTACTTTGAAATAATTGTTAACCTTAATGGAATATTTAATAACAGATGCACACAAACTGAGAGACAACATGACTTAAAACACAATTTTTGTGTTAAAAAAAGAAACCATGTAAATATACTGCTTTCTAAAGATAGCTGTACCTTTTTTCTCTTCATTTACTTACTTTGGAGGTAAGGTTTCAATATCTCTTATTTCCCTGGTTGCTGTCATTGTAAATCCATCAATCACATAAAAATGCTCTTTACCAAAAAGAAGTAGCCCCTCACTGGTATCTAGGCCCTGGACTCGAGCAGAGCGGTACATGTGTTGGATCTATAAAGAAAACCATTAATCCAGCTTTAAAAAAAAAATTCAAGTAATTTTTTTGATATAATTTAAATAAAATGTTTTCAAACATGGGCAAATAGGATTCTACCAAGATATGACTCTTATGGCACCCCAAAATTAAACCTGAGGTATTCAAAAACAATCAGTTCTGACCGCAGTCTGACCTTCAACTGACGTCAGTAAAAGCAAACAGCCACTTAATCTTATTTGTCCACTTCCTGTCCATCCACCCATTCATCCATCCATCTAATCCATTTCTCCCAATATTCACAGAGTATGCACTGGGTGCCAGGCACATATGCACGAGGGTCTGCACGTGATGAACAAGTTGGATAAGGAGGAAGACACAGTCACAACAAACTTGGCAGGAAAGGGAACTGAGACAGACATGTAAGGAGGTCGGGACTGTATCCTTTGTGCAGACCTAGCAATCTTGAGCAAATTCCTACTCTGTCACTTAGTTGTAGATATAGCCAAATACCTTAATTTCTGTGAGCCTCTGTGTCTTCATTTGTAAATCTCAAATACACATTGGTTTGTTGTGAGAGTTAGCAAGATAATGCATATAATTATGTTAGGAAGTGTTGACTGTCTTGCCTTCCACTCAGCTCTTTCCTCTTTTTCAACAACAGCTCCTGGAAGTGGACCTGGGGAATCTGTCCCTACTATTCCCTCCCCACCTGGATCCTGCCTGCCTGGCAGACTGCTGTGCTGCTGTAAAAAGCCAAACTTGGCAGAAGTTGTATTTTCTTCATAGGAGGGAGGAGCTGCTAAATTTCTCAGTGTTAAGTATTGTTTACTTTCCAACGGGTAGGATTTAGTTCTCAGTAAAAATTCTTTCTTACTTAAACTCAGCTCAATATGAGTCAAGGAAAAAAAAATCAGCAACTACACCAGAGTCAAACAAATGTCAAATAAATATCAGCTTTGAATACATTTTCTATACTATTCTAACTTGAAGCAATTAGGACAAAAACTGTACTGATGAGTCAAAGGGTTAAAAAATGACATTAAAAAACATTTTGTGCAACATGCAAATATAAGTCAATTTTCAATGACACACTTGAACTACTTCAATGATAAAATAAAGATTACAGGGAAAATACTGATGTTCTTTTAAAATAACTATTGTAGTGTTATATACATACAGAAAATAATTATTTCATAAATACACAGCTCCATGAATTTTCAATGCCAAAAATATGGTACAACAAGCATCTGGATCAAGAAAAAGAACATTCCCAAGATCCCAGAAGCCTCTCTTGTGCTTCATTCAGATTTAATGTCCTTTTGTAGTTACATGAATTTTTTTTTTGTATTTGCATTCAAGATTAATTAGGCCAAATATCTGAACAGAATTTTAAAAATGATGGCCTAATTTCTGGTAACTACTTCTTAGTGGGTAAGATTTCAAGAGTTATGTACCAACATCTAATATAAAAGGCAAACAGAATAACATTTAAAAAGTGATACTCACTACTCATTCATTCATTTATCCTTTTATTTACTCAGTCAGTCACTCATTCATTCAAAGCTTTATTGGGTGTCCATTAGGTAATCAGAGCTGTGTAAAGCAATGGGATAAGAACAGAAAACAGTGCCTCCCTATAAGGAGCTCCCTATTTAAGGGAAGAGACAGACGCAAGAACAAATAATCATGACATGACGGAATACAGCGATATGTACAAGGCATTATAAAGCACAGAGGAGGAGTACTAACCAAGCCTGAGCGGGCGAGACAGTCAAGGAAAGCTTCCTACAGTCAAGTATTAAAGACATCCAGATAAATGAGGCTGTATCAAATGGGACTTACTAGAGGTTATGCGAGTGATGGAGAAAGGGGTATTTTTGTAGGAAACACAATGGGTAAGGCACAGAGTAAAGAAACAACATCATCAATGTAGTGACCTGCAAGGCATCCCGTGCTACAAGGGGGCACAGGCTTCTGGGCAGAATCAGGAAAAAGGCTGGAGAGGCCAGCAGGGTGTAGGACGGGGACAGAGAAGCAGGAAGGTTAAGGTAGTCTCTGGGAATGAAGGAGAGAAGGGATTAAATACAAGGCTGAGAGGGTGTACAGATGGGCTAAAGCTGCTTGTGGGCGGTGACTGGAATTACAAAGGTGCAGAAAAACATAACAAGGACAGATTTTGGAATAGGTTATACACATGGGCTTGGAACAGAGAAATAGAGCAAGAACTTCAGTCTAATAAAGAGTATACAGGAAGAATGAAATTGGTGTCAACTGTTAATATTGTATTTGATGAAACTTTCTGCTGTTTAGTGTGCTCAGGTCAGAAAATCTTGCAAATAAGGGAAGCAGAGTACTAAACCCAAAAGGTTGCTTAACACTAATACTGTATTTCATTATAGAGGCTAAAACATTTATCTTCTCCCACCAGATAAATATCCTAACTAGTCAATGGCAACAGATTACTTACACACAATCTTTACTTTTTAGAAGCACAATACCTTTTCTCCGTCCTCCAACAGGCGCAGTAGGGTGGCATTGTCTGTTTTCTCCTCCTCTTCTATAGAGCTGCCTTCAGCAATCTGCTCTTGCAGCTGCTCCTGGTTCTCCTCATCTCCTCCGTCAGGTGCGGATCGAGCCCGTTTTAGAGGAGGCTTGACTAGACCTGCGGGAGGATAATAACCAGGAGAGCCATGTGGCCTCGTGCGGGCCATTTGGGGAGTTTAGTCCTATGTGGTCCCTCCTGTATATTTCCCATTTGAGATAACTCTGGGGAACAAGAGCAAGGCAGCACAGTTCAGTAGTTAACACAGGCCCTGGAGTTAAATAGGCAGGTGAATGATATGCCCTCTCTGAATCTTAGCTTTCTCATTTATAAAACTGGGACAAAAATACTATCAAAGAGGACTGCTGGAGGACTAAAAATGAGGTAATGTATGTCAAGTGCTTAGCATCATACCTGATAAAGAGTAAATTTCAAGTGTCACACAATAACAATGAACAGAAGCTTAGCACAACTGATGGTAAGGACAGTGCTGCTTATGGCCAGGCGTCACTGAGGGGATATTATGAATAAATAATGGATTACTATCAGAAACAACAATAAAGACAGCAAATTATAAACATGATTATAAGAGATACCACACACTTGGAGGGCCCATGAGAACTCCTTCATGGCTCATGTCACAAATGGCAGTTGGGTCACTCATACATGAACAAATCTGATCAAATCATCAGGTCATAAAGAGCATAATTCTTTATAATACAGGGACAGATCATTTAATTTACAGATTAAGATAACACTTTATTGCTTATATTTTGATGATTTTATTATCACAGGAGGTAACATTAAAATCACTTGATGAGATTCCAAAGTATGAGAAGCATTCAAAATAAACTCTAAATCCCATATTTAATTAATGTTTTTATTTTAGTTCTACCATAAAAAGTCATGTTAGACGTACCAATGATAGTTGCTCTAAAAATTCTGGGAAAAGCAAAAGTTAGTCTGTTAGAGTCTTATCCTTGCACGTTATCAGAGGTTCTTCTTTGCCCTATTTTCACATATGAAAAAGCATAATAAGTAAACAAGAGAGACCAAGTCCCACTGAGAACATCCAAAGGGAGAAAAAGCTTACTGCTGCATTACTTTTAGTCTAATGACTGAAAATCTCCAACTCTTAAGTCTAGCAAAACACCTTGCATATTACTCAGTCACAACAATATTGTGTGGTTTTGGGCTCAATGAGACATTAGGAATATGAGGTAAAGAGAAGTTGAAGTGCCAATGATCTAAATACAAGTCATCTGACTAACTCTGGATTGCATCTTGGGTTATATTATATCCAGTAAATACAGCTTTGGATCCATCTCAATAACTGCTCATGGAATGTCAAGAAAAATCAATAGAACTGTAAACTCTGATTAAGTTTCAAGGATTCTATGATAACATTAAATCAATTATAAAATGTGTAGTAAGTCATGATCATGAGAAAGAATAGGTGGATTATAATAATAGGAAAAATGGATCACTATTTTCGATGGAGTTTTTTTGTTGACATGGTCATATACTATTAGTTTTTTAATCAATGGGATCTGAAACTAATTTTTAATTTACAGTTCTTAATTTACATTCTGGAACTTTAGTTATAGAATATGCCAAGACTTTTGAATTTATGGTCAAAGGCTTAAAAAAAGTTTAAACAGCAGATTTACTTATTCAACATGAGTGGAATTCCCATTTTGTGCTAGGCATGTGTCAAAAGCTATAAAGAGAGAAGAAAAATAATATTTGCCTCTGAGAAACTTAGAATTTAGAAAAACAGTGAAAAATCACTGAATTTGCTGTAAGAGATATGAGTAAAGTACTAGCAGTGGACAGAGGAGCTGGAAAAGGTTCAGGGAAGGAGTTTCTGTTATCTGACCAGTGCTCTTGAGATGAGATATGGTTTGTTAAAAGTCGAAATCATGCAGAGGCTGTTGGAAGAGGGCAGAAGGCATATGTATGTAAAAGGACAGAATCAAAAAGTCCATGGCCATTTTAATCCAATTTATCATCTTATGTATGTTTACTAAACTCATTAAGTATAGGTTTGGACTAATCTGTCTTAGCTCATAGGAAGAAAGATCATTATTTCTTACGGCTGGCTAACATGCAGTAATGACATATCTGGTAGTTGCTTTAATTTTGTAAGTATGTATCTAGTTATTGGGGGCCTTAACTTGAAATATCAGGTGCCACTGAGAATTCTGAATACAATAAAAAAATTATCAAGCCAGTGGCACGTAACATTTATATGAAGTCTTTTTTAGTTCTGATATAGAAATCAATCTTTATGAAGACATAGAAAATGTATGGTTATTTTAAAGGTTGGCCCTACTCTTTACAGTAGCTCTTATTTTCATATAAACTCAAATATAAGAATGCTCTGAAATGATCGTTAATTAAAATCAAAGAGAAAGTCTGACCTTTGACTTTAGCGATAGTGTCTTCACCATGTTCTGGTTCTTGCTGAGTGGCTTCACCTTCTGAACTCTCTACAATGGCATCTTGGACAATGGCTGGATTGCCAGAGGCCAGGCGCATGTAGTATTCTTTACTGTCATAACTTATGGCTCTTCTGTACCGAGCAGGTTTCTAAGAAATAACAAAAGGACTCAGATAATTATCTTCACGAATTAAAATATCAGCTTCCTGAGGGAAGGTATGGTGTCAAGATTTCTTTATGTGTTACCTTATTTTAGGGATTTTTAATAGACTGTATTTATACACAGTCAGTCGATAGACTTTTGGGTCAAGTTTCTCTATTTTCAAATTCCACTGATTTTTAAAAAGATAATATAAAACAACAAAACTCACAGTTTTATTCTTCCTAAAATAGAAATAAATCGCCTCTAGTCAAGTAATATTTCCAGGTTACTATAGTACAGCCTCACTGATTTATCACAAAACCTTCCCACGTGGTAATACAAGAATGATAAGGCCCAGTGTTGGAGAGCATCAAGCTGCAAGGGGATGTCTTGTCTGTGAGGAGCCTGGAACTTTGCTTCTACCCCAAGTAAAGTGAGTAGGTCAGGCCTAAAGGGCCATCCATTCAGTTGGGGTCATCTGTGCAAGCATATACTTCTGATACTTGGAAGCACAGACTCAGAACTGCCCTGTCCTTTTCCATATTGCAGATCTCCCTGGAACTCAGGAACTGGCCCAAACCTCCACAGAACTAAGCTGCAGGCTAGCTGGCGCTCCCTGATTGACCCATTACCCTGAGCTGCTATTTCCACTTTGCTGAAACAACCTTATTGCTTATTGGGTAAAAGAGTATCAAAAACTTTCTAACTAAATAAGTATGTCTAGAACATACAGGAGTCCATTTTGAGGGAGAAATTAATTACCTAGACACATAAGAAAAATTTAAGCTTTTGGCATATAAGAGCATTTCTTTTTCAGAACAATGCTTATCCTAAAAACAAGTTCTCCTATTAACCTTTTAAAATTTTTTATCTTAAACCATAAGGTAATGAAAAATTAAGGTCTAAAATTTCCTACAAAAATGTAAAACCATAGGGAAGTTTATATGTATATAGGTTTCTTGATCACAATTAGACCCAAACTTTGGATTAAAAAGATGGGAGTTTGAAATGTGCTTAAAAATCTTCTCTTTCTAAACTTTTATTTTTCCTTTCCTATGAATATCTAAATGAAAGTATTCTATCAACCTGCTCTTCAACTCAAGTAGTCAATACATATGGCCCAGAATAATGCTTATTTCAAGCAAGACTTAAAAAAAAAATTCCAATTTTAAAGAGGAAAACAAGTGTGCGACTATTGGAAATTTAGATTGAAACAGTGAACTAGTCTGAGATAAAAAGATACCTAACTGAAGCCATAGTTGCCCTTCTTTTAACTTCAGGTACAGAAAGTGAGCTGCAGGCTAACTAAGGAATGGTATACAGCAAATGTAAATTGAAACCTATTATGTAACATAGGGAAGTATTAAGATGATATAAAATGTTACAATTATGGAAGAATTAATCTGATGAACAAACTATTAAGAATACTGCAATATTTTTGAAATGAAGTAAACTTTGTATAAAAATTCTTCTCATGAAGTATAACAATTATCTTCAACTCAAAATTGTTCATTTGTAAAAAGATGATAGCATAGTTAGTGATGGGCATGACAATGAATTTAATACATGTGGGACAACATCTACTTGGTTACTGACTTAAACTTGGAACTATAAGCATTTTTCCCTAAATATTTTAAAGTACATTTCTGTGTTACAAAGAACTACTTTTTTTAAAACTGCATTAAGTATTCAATCTTTCTGGAAAAAGAAAACCATTATAAAATTTTAAACTAATTAAAATTGTATTTATAAAAATGATCATACATTGTTAGTTTCCAGTAGTTCCTTCTGATTCAAAAAATAATTAAAAGAGGATACTCTTGCAACCTCAAAATACACACTGTTTAGTATCTAGAAGAATAAAATGAGTAATTGAAAAGAAAAGTTGAAGGTGGCGGGCTGCCCATTACTAACATGCATCAGAACTTGTTAGCTTATGCGTGTTGCAATTCACGTTTTACGGTGAGAGCAGTGAATACTCAGCCTGTTAGTGAGCAACATACAGACCCCTGAAAGCTAATTAGAAGAACAAAGCCGAGAAAGACTAAAGGATCTCTCAACATGAGTGAAACCAACCTTTCAACTGCAAGGAACTTACAGAAAGAACAAATTGAAAGTCAATCTTTGAAGTTAGTCTATTCTATCATGCACTAAAAAAAACAACAGAAAAACCTGCAAGTATTTTGCATTCTTTTAGGTAATTTGTGTTTTACCTTTTGAGGAATGATATCATCGGGTGCCTCAGGCTGTTTAGTTGGGATCTCAGACTGAAAACAGGGTATTAAGTATAGAAACATCAGAAAAAATTAACAAAGAACAACACAAAAATAAAATTTTCTTGAGGATTCGATGAAATATGGAAGACGTATTCACTCAAAACTGATATGATATTCTGAGCTGCTTGAGATAATCACTCAGCACCTTTGACTGTTTTCTCCATTATCAAAAGTAGTCTTAAAGTAAAACTTAAGTACACTAAAATTCTCAAAGCTACTGAACAGGACAGACTTAAAAATCACACAGGCAAAACTTCAGCACCAGTGTCACAGATCATATACAGGCAACAACTTAAATGGATTCAAAAGGTAAAAACTGAGAACCAGACGATAGAACCTAATGCTAGCTAGTATCTTTCACCTACCTTTCACTGTGCTTATCTCTAGATCTGTTTTGTACAGGAGCAATACTGGTATTACCTACAATACCCCATGCCGGGAGTCAGTCAGTGCTGGTAAGAACACATCCTCCCATAGAAGCCTGAGGACCTCCTTCCTTCACTATCTTCACAGCTGTGACCCCAGAAAGGCTGAAGGCAGAAGGGAGACTGGACCATCAGCCTCTAAAATAAACTTTTTATGAAGGAGTACTTTTTAAGATATTATGTGGTTGCTTTATATTTTATTCTCAGAATAAAATCCGGAATAACAAGAACACAATTTCTGTTGTGCGCTGTAGCGTGTGGCTTATGCATGTAAACACATAGATAGCTACAAATGTTTGCTTCTGTAGGCAAAACAAACACTGGACTACTGGGCATAATCTCAAATACTTCACATGGTTTTAGTAAACCTTTCTCTTTAAAAGCAAACTTTAAAAAGCATATTCTTATACTGAAAGACCTTTAAAATACACATAACACATCCTTTGTCTTGGTAAAGGTTTGGGTTAAATAGTATGTATTATACATTTGTTAATACTGAATGGTACACTTCAGATTTGTGTATTTCAATGTATATGAAATTTATGACAATAAAAAAAGAAGTATAAATGTATCAAACTATAATTATTGATATACAAGTGGAAGTGTTTAGGGGTGACACTGCATATAATTTTGAAGTTAATTAAAAAAAAAAAACCAAGATAGATGCTGGGTAGGTAATGTGACAAACCAATATAGCAAAATGGACCAATTAATACTGTCAAGCCCATCTTGCTGTCCACCATATAATCCCCAACCAGAACATGGGCAGGCAGGGTCTAACCAGTATACCCCTGTGCATTCCCTATGTAGACCAGCACAGTGCTGGTTTAAAACTTATTTGATCCTTGATCCACTGACTGAGATTCTTATTTTACTAAAAGGCACAGCATTCAAGGGCAAAGATATATGTTATACTAATAATCTTAGCGTTATTACACCTCTCTCAAAATTTTTAAAACTACATTCGCATAGAAATCTAAATTTCTCAAAGTCGTAATTTCTAGGAAATAACTTTATAGTCCCTTTACTTCAAAATTTTCTGTAATACTGGCAATGGAAATCCTGAATTAGAGAAGCTGTTTAGTTTCTCTAAGTTCTGTGGCACCTATGTATTATATACAAATATATGTGGAGGCAGCTACAAGAGACTCTGTTCACTAGAAAAGGAGCCCTCTTTTAAGTCATTTTTCCCTTCTGCCCTGAACAGCCCAAAATTAGGCACTGGGGTGTTTTCCCAATGATATTTGCAAAGAACAGTAAATATGCTTGAGATTATTAACTGGTGAGAATAAAGGGATTACAAAATTAAAATCTGATTTTAGTATTAAAATATGATTTTTTTTAAAATGGCAAAATAGGGAATCTTATTCTCCATTCTCAGGATTCAGAGTAAGATGAAACAATTGGTTAAAACAACAAAACTTTGTATTTTCATCATATCCCAGCCTCGTATCTTAACAATATCTATACTTGATACTACCACTTAAAATATACTTATAGTATAATTTAGTATAGCTATTATAGTTATGAAAATTAATCCCCAAGAAAAGTCATTGTGCAAAGAGGATAAATTATTTTCATATGAAAATTTTCATATGAAAATAGTTTTCCACATGTACCTAATTTTCTCAGGACAAAAATAATTGCAACTACTGATGCTCCTGTTAAAATAATTTCAGTTGATAAACTTTCAGAGCTTTTATGTCTGTGGAAAATGAAACACTAGAATACGTTCTATTTTCTATAAACAAACATCCAATTTAAAAATTTAAAAAAAAATTGAGAACAGTTCAAAACTGAACAGGTAAGCTATGTTTTACATAGTAAGTAGTATTATCAAGGGTTAAGAAATAAAACACTAATGACTAACAGAATAATCATTTGATTAATTTCTAATACATTAAAGATTTTAAAACAAGAAAACTTAATCATCACTGTATTCCTTTAGCTTAAGCATTGGACTAAAAATTCACATGTTAATTATATACAATTATTAATAAATAAGGCAAAAGAGCAAATCATTTGCCCTTGCTACACATAAAACCTGTTTTACAAATCCAGAGGCTTCAAAAGCAATTTTTAGGTTGGCATATACCTGTTATGTACTTTTTTTTATAAACACGAATGCAAGGAAAGCAACACATTTACAGGTGTGGAAAGAGAATCAGTGATTGATCTCAAACTCTGGGAGGTGATGTTTAATATAATTCAGGGCTGAGGAGGATTTACTATGAAGTTAGTGAAGCTTAAACTTTAACAGGCCTCAGTTCCTATGGGTGTCTTTCAAAACCCTGGAAGAGGGGCCCTAGTAATTTGTATTCTTTTCTTACGGGGTGCTCCCTCAAGTTATATAAACTTCAGGACCCATAAAATGTGGCTCTTGCTCTCTTTCAGTGGCAACATTTCATGATTAGGAGAATTCTATAGGTTGCTAAATGGGAAGCAATGGAAAAAACTGTATAACTTAAGAGAGAGAGAGAGCTGGTAGTCTATTCACTCAACATTAATTACGTTCTAGATACTCTGTTAGCATTAGAGAGACAAAACCTAGGATATGGTTTCTGCCTGGAGGAAGTTCACTGTCTACGTGTAATGCCACAAAACCACTAAAGATCATAATCTTTTCTTTCTCAAAAGTGATTTAACTTCTAAGGAACTGTCAGCGTATCCTCAGTATACCTTACTTATACTTAGTAGATGTGACCTAGAAGGGGATCCTTAACTTTTTTAGATTTCTATTCTTCATCTGTAAAATTGGGATAATAATATTATATATACTTTGGAGGGCTGTCATGAGATGTAATGAAACTGCATATAAACTGCTCTGCAGAGCACTGAGCTCACTGTGCCTTTTAAATAGAACTGACTCTTGAACAAGAGGGTCAAGGGCACTTATCCCCAGCCTGTGAAATAAAAAATCTGCAGATAACTTTTGAGTTCCCAAAAACTTAACTACTAATAGCCTACTGTGGTCTGGAAGTCTTACTGGCAACATAAACAGTTAATAACACATATTTTGTATGTTATATATATTATGTACTGTGTTCCCACAATAAATTAAGTTAAAGAAAAGTGTTTTTCAAATTGCCACAAGTCTCCAAAAAAAATTTTCCAATATATTTGTTGAAAAAAATCCATGTATAAGTGGACCCGTGCAGTTCAAACCTGTGTTGTTCAAGGGTCAACAGCAGTATTTGCTCTTGTTTTTTGATTTCACAATAAAAATCAGCAGAGTAGCAGTTGCTTCTACTTTTTGGAAGTTTCCTTCCTATCAGTATTGCCAGACTGTATACTTTCAAATTTACAAAAGATTTTGAGCTAGCAAAATCAAAATAATTATTCATTCAGAAAATTTCATTAGAGCAGATTAACCTTGATTCATGTAAGAACTAAGCAGCATGAATTCCACATTCAGTAATCGTCTCCCTATCCCATCCGCTTTTCCCTTTTTTGGTAAATGTATCTCCAACATTTCTCGACTGCTTTGTATTTCCTGCTTTGTATTTCCCAATATGGAATCCATCTGGTTAAAAAATAAGTTCCATATGGTACATACTTATTTCTAAGACTGTTTAAATTTCATACGCCGGTGAACTACTTTTCTTAGATAAACGCTAATGATAGTAAGGTTGTTAATATGAACCCTGGATAGGTTATTATTTTGTTCTTATCTGATACAGAAGTTTAAATATACTTTTGTCAAACAAATGACATTGATACAAAGAAGGAAAGGAGAAGGCAAGATAAAAATATTATGGTTACGTAACTCAAAGTATATGGCTCAGTTAAATAAAAATCTCAAAAATATATGCCTCAGTTAAATAAAAACAGTGAGTTGGTCACATATTTAAGAGAGCACATTCATCTTATATTTTAGTATTGCTTGAATGGATTCAATTTAAATGAGTGTTGACTCAACAAGAAATATTTTATCAAATTGATACAGGCTTAAATTCTTATTTATTGGGGGGAAAAAGTAAGAATTTAGAGATTGTACTGCTTGTCTGTTCTGACAAAAGTAGGTGCTAGTAAAAGGCTACAGATATATATGGGCATATTAACCTTTTTACCTTGTGTGCTAGGTATTAGAAATCAGTATTTGGAGTTACAGCTGTACCAAGTAAGGCACCTTGACAGAATGGAACAGCTTTGAGAAAAGTAAACTCTAAGGAGCTATGTTGAAAATTCTTAACTATGTAACAGTCTCTAAAACCTATATTCTAAGTAGGATCAGGACAGAGGTGAAATCAATGAGTACAAGATAAATGGAGCCGGGGTTTTGGCAGAGACAAAAAAGGCTCTGGAATAATGTAAGGTGCCTCACATCTGAACTACTTATTAGAAGAACCATGTTCCAAGTCTACTCTGTTATGTCAATTTCTTCAATTATTGAGAGAATAAAATATAAAGTCAAGAATGTGAAAGTATTTAAACCATGAAGATCTTTGAAATGATGTTTTTAATAAAATATAATACAACTTCTATACTGGGCAGTGTTTGGACTTTATGACCTCTCAGATTCTAAAATCCTATTAACCAAATATTCAAGAAGAACAAACACAAAAAGTTCTTCAATGGATGACTCTTTGTAGCGATCTGAGCTTCTAACTGGGTATAGTTAAGAGGCAGCTAAATACCAGCGTGAAACAAAACGTGGAATACATTCCTTGGACATGGGTTAATCATCAGGCACAGTGTGGTCAGGTTTTTGGGGAGGGAAAGAATCTCAGAACAATACTTTCCAGACTATATGTTTTAGAAGTTATAATACTGATTTTTTTTTTTGAAAGTTTAAATGACAGTGAAGAAAGGCAAGAGACTTTTATCAAAGAGAAGTACAGATTTAAAAAAAAAAGGGCATAACACTGGTCTAAAGTCAGGGATTCTCTAGAGCTCCCTTGTCCGGTACAGGAGCTGCTATCCCCAGGTGGCCACTGAGCCCAGGAAATGCGGCTCATCTGTGATATGCTGTTCATGTAAAATACATATTGCATTTTGAAGACAAGGTACAAATAAAGGTAAAATATTTCATAAATAATGTTTTTATAATTGATGACATATTGAAATGATAGTATTAGGAAGCTAGATGAGATTATCTGTGAGATTCCCTTTCAATTCCCAAAGCTGTGGTTCTATGACAAGACTGAATTTCTAAGGAGGAAAGCACCCTGCATTTCGGAGGCAAGGCATTACTGTTGGACACTGAAGAGTTGGATTACCATTTAGAAATGTGAGAATTTTCAGAATTAAATTTAGTGGATGTTATACTCTCATGTTTTCTTTTCTTAAATTTGTAGTAACTTTATTGGGAAAGACTATTATTTTCCCAAACTTAAAAACACGTTCCTTGGAACATTATCAACTTAGACAAAAGCTTTCTGGTCATATGCAAAAACATGGATGAAAGCCTTAGAAGGGTAACTTGTCTGAATTAAAAAAAAAAATGTAAACAAATGGTGTTTGCTTTAAACCCATGGAATCAGTGATGAAGAGTCTCCAAGTAAATGGTATGATCTACATATTCAGGCTATTTTTCTTTAGCTGCTCTCTGTTTCCTCAAAGAATATTGCTTAGTGCCAATATTTATTTTCTTAACTTTCACTTATACTGTGCTTATTTTGTGCACACTATTCCAAGTACTTCACTAATTTTAACTAACCTAATCCTCTTAACAGCTTTTGAAATGATCATAGCTGTTATTTTCTCCATTTTAGGCATGAGGAAACAGAAACCTAAAGTGGTAAAGTGATCCGTGTGAGGCCACCCAGCTAGTAAGGTGGCAGAGCCACATTTTAAACCCGGCAGAAGATGTAAACCACTTCACTACGACGTCTTCCTGCTGCACTGACCCATCTTTTTCACTCCACTGCCACCACTCTGGTGTTACCAATTTAATATAGTTTACTGGATTTCCTAAATTAGATATTTTAGGTAGTTGACCTAATAAGAAAAAAGCTTCCAACAAAGAAGAAAAACTTGCAAGAGCCATTACAAACATTTAATTCTGCACACTCACCGCCACATTCGCCTCTTGTTCTGTTTCCGGCACATAAGGGTAATGGTTATAAAACATATCATTTCGCACCATTTTTTTCCTCATTCTGCAGGGCCCTTCTGTCATCTCCAACATCCATTTGTCTAGATGGGAACCGATGGGGGGACCCCACAACCCTCGCTCCCGCAAGAGCTCGTACTCGATTTGGCACCACTCTTCTGTCACGTACTTCAGGGCATTCTGCTGGCGCTACAGGGAGGGGGTCAAGGTTGGTTTTCAAGCACAAGGAGGAGTAACAATTAAAAGTCTACAAGTAACTTAAAACCAAGTTAGTATTTAGAAACAAAACCAATCCATATCATTTCGGTCAATTACAAAAGTAAAATTACATTTATTTACAGTTAAAGCAAGCTACTGATTTTGTGAGACTGTGGGTTTTTATGGTAGTCCAAGATGATTATTTTAGCACCAATGAAATGACAGATATGTACAGGGGTAAATGTGCAGTACATATAAACAGAGAATTGAAGGAACTATGTTATTTGGGCACAGAAAAGATGGCAATATTACTTATGAAAATATATTGAAATGGTTAGTATGAATTAATAGAGAAACATGGTAATTTAAGGATGAATCCCCCCCATCCACCCTCAAATAAAATAGCTACTAGAACATGGATAGGAGAGAAGCTAGAAAATCATGGTAACATTTCCAAAGATTTTAGGTAAATATAAACATGGAACTCTGACAGGGAACTTGACATTCCTATCAAAATAAAAGAAAAACCATTTTTCAACTGGCCACTAGGATATAACCAAACTGTTTTACTTAAATGAAAATGTACCTCTTGCTGTTAAATACGAAGATGTGTAACACTTCAACTGTAGATGATTATAACTTATTTAACGATTCATGAACTATAAGTACATGATTTAAGTCTAAGAATAAGCATCTCTTTATACCACTAACAGTGAAGAATGAATAATCTTGAAATTACATGACATTGTGGTAGTATGTACGTGTTCCTGGCAGGGCGGGGAATCCCCTATAACAACTAAGGATCTACACTTATGCCCAAAAAAGATTAGCAGCTTTTCACTCAGAAATCTTTAACAGACCTAAATCAGCCACTCTGGAAATAAAATATTTAGGATAAGTTAAGTGATTATGAATTCACCAAGGGGATCTCATTGAATTTATTCCTTACTGACATAATCAGCAAGCACCAGTAACAGAAAATAACAACTTTATCTTTCAGTATTTTAGAGCTTTAAGAAACTTAAGACTGTGATGCACATTTTCATAGTCTCCTTAACTCTGAAAGAGGGATCTTTCTTATACTCTAATTTTTATGATGAACAAACACATGCAGTATGTAAGGAGTGAATGTCAACATGATTCAGAATTCCAGTTTGTTGCTTTTAAATGCAGTTTTCCTATACAAAGTTCAAATTTTTAAATCTTAAAACCAATGGCCAAAGTAGCTGCTGGCAGGGAGAATTTAAAACACCACCTGATGCTGAATGTAGTTCAGCAGGTTATCCTTAAGAGAGGTGGAAAGATATCAGGAGAAACCAAGTCCTTACTCACTCAAGGGATGCAAAACAGGCCATTATTACGGTTATGAATTCTTACCTCCTGATATTCCTTATATTGTGTGTCTACTAAGTCACGAACAACAGCAATATGTGTAAACATCCACTGAGAAATCTCCTAACAATGGATGGAAAAAAGAGTCTTAATATTTCATAAATTTTCCTGGAAAAATGTTAACTAGCTTTAAAATAATGTTGAACAATGAGTTAAAATTCTGTTAAAGGCAGCCCTTCAAAAGACACAAGAAACTTTGCAATGTACATTAGATGATGAACTGAACAGAGGCTTGTGTGATGGACACCCACCTGGCCCTGCCATCCCTGCCGTGCCCTCTCTAGGAGGGGCCTGCTGCTGAGGCTGCTGGGAGTGCTCTCAGCACCCTCGGAGGGGCTCCTCAAGTGCAGAGCTGCCAGGGCAGTGCACAGCCAGTGACCAGCTGGCTGATGGAGGGAAGTAGGCTTAGTCCTTCCAGCTCAGTACAGCTGAACTCTGACAGGCCATCCTGGCTCCAGCACTCTACCGAGGTCAGCTGAGGCTGTCATCAGACCTGCACTGTAGCCTGGCATTTCCCTGTGACCAGTTCTGCTTACTTCGGTTCTCTTCCACAAATATTGACCTCAAGATTTCCTCTAATAAACACCCTGTACTCTTCACGTCCTCTCAGAGTATCCTTACTGGGGAATCCAGCATGAAGGCAGCATGGAATGACTGACACACATGGTTTCTCTCAGACCCTTCTCACAGCTGCCACTAAGATTCTGGGATGGCAAAGGCAGTGTGATGTGGAAGGAATTAATGCTGGAGGTAGTCATGAGTTAAAAAAAAATCAATCACAAGATTTTATACAAGATTATATACAAGAATATAAAAATATCAAATGCCATTTTGTTCTGCAATTGCTTTAAAATGTATATAATTACAACAATACTATTTATAGTTTGGAAAAATTGGGGGAAAATTTACTAGAACCTGATCATATATCACTATCGGAATCCCATGTCCACTTATGATATGGATGTAAATTCACAATACTCATAACGCAACTTATCTTAATAAAATGGGATAAGTTCCCATATTCTGCGTTATTTCCATTTCTCCTCTAAGGCAAAAATGCAGAAAGTTCCATTTCAAATTTTATGCTTCTACATGTTAGTTTATTATATACAATGCTACAACTAAACCTTGAAATATAACTTTATTAATATCATCAACGAAACCAAATCATGTACCTGGATGGAAAGACTGTGTTTGTTAAGACCACTTTCCTTTCGATTCCTTCTTGATCCTGTTAACTTGGAAAGACCAAAGCCACTGCTGACACGGGACAGTTTGGATTGCGTGGTGGGCACTAGAGCTTCGCCTCGGCTTATGCATTTCTTTTCATGGGCTATGTAATTAAAATTAGATTATTTTACAATTTCTTCATATATCTGTTAGTCTTACTTTTAACACCTTTGCATCATGGTTACAAAGCACAATTCTGTAGTTATCAAAGCAGCTTACATTACCGACAGACATTCTCTTAGATATCATACATTTACTTGTTGGTAATCTTTATGAGGATAGCTGCTTGACAATATTATACTACTTGAGCTTACATTTGGCTGAAACTTCACAGCTTTGCAATAACATGCAAATTTATTTTGGCTGTAATCAGTTTGTATTAATTGAAAATCTTTGGTACTGGGCATACTTAGGAACTTACAGTGTTTTGCATTTTAAAAAGGTGGTATGGTACATATACTGTATACTAAACAGTAGACCATCAGAGGGTCTAGGGTAAAAAACCATAATTTAACTCATTAATTTTTCTGCAGGAAAATATGTGAATATTCATACCAAGTAGGATAGATATAGGTAGGTGAGGTATTGCTACCAAGTAATTTCTGTCACCAAATTAAGGGAAAAAACCTTGGTTTTCAGGGTTTTTTGAATTTCATAATTATAGTAGAGATTTTGGACTCACAGCCAAGATACTGAACACACTAGAGCTGTAAGCAAAGTGTAATTTTCCAAGCTCATAGATGCCTGACATGTAACATACCTCAGATGAAAAGCCAAATCTCAGTGTAAGTATTCAGAATGAGCCACACTGTAATGATTTTCATTTCTACTGCTGTCAATATCCTTTTGAGAAAGTTTTCATTACATATTAAAGTGCACCTCTGTACAACTGTTTGTAGTCACAAGTTAGACTTTCTTACCCAAATGATTCTGCCAGCACTTCAAGCCAGCCTCTTCAATGAGGGGCCGTGCTATAGCTATGTCCACGTGGCCCCTTTCGTTCACAGGTAGAGTGACTTTGAAAAGCTCCTCCAGAACTTGTTTCTTACTATGAATCAGTTCAGTCCAAACTCTGTTGACAGCTTTTATGAGAAGCTGACGCCCTAGGAAACGTAAAAAAGCAACTGATGAAGGACACAATACATAAGCAGTATTTTTCTTCATACTTTACATCTAAGAATTTCAACTATTGTACTTAATTGTCAAAAAACTGCTTCATATCATATCCAGCTCAGTAAAAAGGATTATTCACATAACCAAAACTGTGGTTGGCTCCTTGGAGAACTTAAAAAAAATCTTTATATTCATGCAAAAAAGATTGCATTCTTACTACATACACATTTCATTGTCTGGATTCTTCTACATGCAAAAATAATTTATTCCACGTTTAAATGTAATTTTTAGATTTGAATCCTTAAATTCAAAATTAAGTTAGCTCCTGTTTATTTTGCAAAAGGAAAGAAATACTTATTAAAATATAAAGGAATTTTCCTATTAAATTCCATTTTGCTTTGGACGCCTTGCTAACTGGACTCCACATTCAGACCAGTGAATCTTTTTAGCAAGCACCAGAATAACCTAGAGGACTTAGTACAACACTGATGGTCTCTACCCCCAGAATTTCCTGATTCAGTGGATCTGAATGAGTCCAACACATTTTGCTTTTCTGACAAATTACCAAAGGATGCCGATGTTAGCCTGAGCACCTTGCTTTGAGAACCAATGTTCTAGACTGTCAACTCCTCAGGGGGTAGAAACAATCACCGTGTCCAGTGTATGGATTCAAGAAATTTTAGTGAAGGGACAGGAACAGATTAATGCGTAGTGAGTCAAAGAATGCATGCTGGACATCCAAAGGATAAAATCAGAGGGAGAACTACTACATTGTATTACTGTTGGGGAAACAAATAATACCATAATTACCTGATCTTTCCTATTCAACATGGAAATCAGACAGCAACCAACCCAAAGACTTCAATGCACAATACTTACAAAAATCAGTGGGAAAACTAGGTTTAAAGAATAAAAATGGTCATACCGACAAGACCATCTATCTCAAGCAATGTCTGCCTCTAATGGGATATGCCTAATACAACAATAGGCAGTTCTCTCTCTCTCTCTTTTTCCAATCAGGGTTTATTTTATTAATTTTATTTAAGTATAGCTGATACACAATCTTATATTAGTTTCATGTATATAACACAGTGGTTCAACAGGTACCCATATGATTAAATCCTCACCCCCTACTACTGAAGTTATTATCTATTAGCATGGAAGATGTTACAGAATCACAGGCTATTTTCTCCATGCTGTACATCCCCGTGAACAGGCAGCTCTTAATGGCAAATGCCAAGTTAGTATTTGCACTGGTACTTGTGCAAAGGTAAGTATCAGTCTCCCAGGGTTATTCTGAAATGCTGAGGGCTAGCAGGGTCAGTGGTTAGTGGCTTACCCATGAGGACATGAGGAGATACGAAGCTAGCATGTTGGTGGGCACACTGGTGTATGGTGGGTATGTCCTACTAGGTGACTGGCTGTTAATGTTGGCAGTTTCTGAAGTCAGTCTGTTTTGGTGTGTTTTGAAAATTGGAAATGAATGAGTGGAGAGAAAAGGAAAAAAAATGGAGGTAATTACCTTCACTAATATCTTGGCTGTAACCACCATCTGGTTCAATGTCAGAGGGGATCATAATGTGCCATGTAGTCATGCGGGCTTCTGCTTCCAGACCAAATCCATCCACATTGCTGAAAAATTCCAGTCAGTTTAAACTATATGATGGAAATTATGGTAGCTGAAAACTCTAATGACTAAGAATTACTCCGCAGACACAAGTACATGCTGGCTCTGTCACAAAGTTCCATGACTGGCAGACAGAAGTTCAGCAGACACACAAAGAACATCTAGTGTATTATGAAAGTGCCATTTTTAAGGGGTGATCTCCCCAATCCACCGAAGTGTAATTAAACTACAGCATCAAGATGAACATTACAAAAAGTTCTTTAAGCATATTCTCCTCACAGGCCTCCCCTCCAGTCCCTTAACTCATCACTCTTTGCTCAGGAGCAATGAAATACTTGCAGCTTCCCAAACATGCCATATCTTTTCCTCCCCCGGGCAACCACATAGATATGCTTTTTCCTACGTCAATCATTCTTCCTTGGCTCGTTTCTGGAGGGTTAGCCTCCTTCTCACCCAGGTTCAAGTTGTACCTCAGCAGGTTATGTCTTCAAGGTTAGGAGCACCTGTGAAGTGCTCTAGAAGCACCATACTTCCAGGAGAGCACTTAGCTTAGCACACCTGGTTTGTCTAGCTTAGTTGTCTGTCTTCCCTTCTAGAATGCATGCTTCAAGACCCTGCTACAGGGCTTTCTTACTCACATGCCATCCCAGTCCCTAACTGAATGCCTGGCTCCCAACAGACACTACAGACATATCTGTCAAGGCAATCAATAGAAAAATAATGATTTACCCATTTAACACATACCACAGCATTTATTCATTGCATTCTTTTCTTTTCACCCCATTTAACCTCTAATAATGTGTATTTTATTTATACTTTAAAAGCGAACTTTCTTTTAAAAAATTACATATGACATAAGGTGATTAATAAGAAACTTAAAGATACAGAAAATTAAAGGAAAAAAAATGCTCATTTCATTGCAAAAATGCAACACTTATGTTTGTCCTTTGCATGAAGTTTTAAAACTGAGACTCAAGGAAAAGAAATGTCACTATCAAAAAGTAGAATGAAGGGTTCTGGTGAAAAAAAATACCAAACACAAATTCTAGGTGACAAACTGAACCTAAAAGATTTACCTGCCAACATGTAGATTAATAAGGCAGTGAGCCAGACAGCTAATGAATTCTTGGTCATGGTTCCCGGGTCCCAGGATCAGGTTCCTGTTTACAGTTAGAACTCTGAGTGAATCCAGGAGAGCTACTTGCTGTGGAACAGTTTTGTGTGCCCGAGAGAACTGGTATAAGATGGTCCTATTCAGGCAGTGGTAAACTGCATCCAGTGACAGTCCCTGTGATCTTCGTTTTGACTGAAGATATGAAAGATGCTTTATTTAGTAAAATGGACACAAATAAAAGATTTGCTTATCATTCACGTGTGACCATTAGGTTTATTATGTACCAGATGCCATGCTGAGCACTGGGTGCTAAGTTAAAAATAACAAGCTCTTGCTATAATGAAGTTCAGAACCCAAGAGACACATAAACATAATTTAATGAGATGCTATGTACAAATGCACATTCCAGTGAGAAGAGCTGCCAACACTCTTGTGGGGCAGAGCAACCTGAGAACATGAGAAAGTGCCAGCTGGGTAGAGCTGCCTACTACACAAGTTTTGTTAGGGTGAAGAGTCTCTATTCAAAATTACTTTGAAAAGTTATCTTAAATGTTAGTCAAAAGCTTTTTCTGACATTCTCGTTTCATGCCCTCACGTGAGAATTTTTCTCTTTGGCTTAAATACAGTTTTAGCTCCAAAAAAATCCTTAGGTGGCACGAAAGAATCTATGCACCATATGCTAATAACACATACTTAACACTATTTTCTACTTTCTACATTGTATGTTGAATAAGATTAATCACTTGTGCCAAACCAGGCCAATATTCCTTTGCCCAAGGCACCATAAACACTAAGATGACATCTTCAGAGACAGAAGGACTAAAATGGCCCTTATAAAGATCCAATTATAGGAAGAGACTATTCCTTTAATACCAACTCTTCATGCTGCAAACCTTTACAGTTTTACATACTGTAAAAACCTATCAATCATATTAACTTCAGGTATTTAAACCAAAAGGAAGCTATCTAGCTATCTTGGTAGCGAAGAGTGATACCAATGAGAGCCCACAGCTGAGAGAATAGGCAGCGTTACAAGGGACACACAAGCACCTATTCTCAGATTCTACTCACTTGTAATAAGCTGAGCTTTATATTAATTGTTAACATTCATTTTCTTATTAGTTACACTTATTTCCAACAACTTTGACACTTTAGGCAAAGTTTTTCAGCAGGAAAACATGTATTCCACAACTCATAGTGATAATGGATTACCTGTGCAATTAGTTGAATTATAAAATCTATAAGAAGTTTAGATTCTTTGTTGAACATGCCTTGCCAAAGCTTGTCCACCACACGTTGTGTGAAATAAAACACATTGTTCACCAATACCTGGTAGCTTCCCCCACTGGTAATAGGCAGAGATGCATCTTCCCCTAAGTTCCAGCAAGAAAAAAAATGTCTAAGAAAATGGGTATCAACCAGCACAAGACCAGATCTGCAAATAATTCAGGTGAAGGCAAAATGAGTACACCCCCTAGATTAAAAAATAAGACCACTAACTCTTATGTACTAGCTTAAGAAAATGATGCTCACGGCCAGAAATCATGATAAATGTTGAAAGAAATCACTTTCACAGGATAAAAGTGTTATGGATTGAGACTCCAAAGTCTCTTACTGCCTTAAGAGTCTGAGGTAAGCAAACAGCTTAAATTCTCAGTGACAGATGGTCTCTGAGAAAAATAAAGTCAGTTCATCAGCTGTAAATTGATTCTGTGAAACTAAACAAAGGGTAAAACAAACCATCAAACAAAACTCTGTATTTTGGAGTATACCTTTAATTAAGCACAGTGAAGTAATATGGGCAAAAGAGCTTCAGACGAACTGGGAAAAAGGAACTATAATCACTAGTGGTGGTGCCAAGGGGTACCTTTTGCCTTGATTACCATCATGATTACCACTGCACTGTTTCTCTTCTCAAGGCTGTCTCAGTGTCTTCAGTGTGTTTGCTATGAATATACTGCAGCAAGACTAATCCTCCAAGCTCCTCCTCCTGACCACAATGTTCTCCTTAAGACCCTTCTTCCTAGAAATTCTGGAGCCTCCATTGATTGTGATTTTTTTCCCCACCTAACTCTAAACTATTTCATACACAAAACTGCCTTTTATGTGTTTATGTATTAAGACTAATACTACATAAGACTAAAGTGACAAAAACAAATACAAAAGTTTGACTTGACACACGCTTGCTAAGACAAAACTAATGATTCCTTGGCAAATTTACTTTGCAAAAAAAGAGATAATTTAATAGCATGGAGGTTCTATCATTAACATCATTACTAGGAACTCAGCAACAAATAGCTAAGTCATTACTTCTCCTTTGAATTCTATCATTGTTCATATATATGTTACTTAGCTTCACTGTAAGTATATTGTTTTGTATTTTTACTGTATCTAGATAAACATACACTGAAAAAAAATGATAGTGTGTTTTGAATTTATGTCCTGGAAGCCACTCTAAAGAACATATACAAACCTATGACCCAACAGTTCCTCTTACAGGTCTATATCCAACAGCTATGTATAAATACTGTGCACATGGGCTGACCAACCAACAGGGTAAGTTTACAGCAGCTTTATCTCTAATTGTCTCAAAGTGGAAATTATCAATTGTCCGTCATCAGCAAGACAGGTAAATTTATATATTCACATGACAGAATACTACATAGGGATGAAAATAAATCGACTTTTGCTACATGCAACATGAATAAATCTCAAAAATATAATGTTGAGTGTATGAAGCTAGACTAAAAAGAATACACATCATGTGATTCCATTTATGCAAGTTCAAAAGCAGGCAAAATTAATCTCTTGTTTAGAAGTTGGGACAGTGACTGGGTTGAGAGTGACTGGGTTAGGGCAGGAGGGCAGTCTCTGGGGTGTTGGCAGTTAGCTTCTATCTCTGTGGTCTCACACTGGCATGCTGTCTGAGTGGTAATTCAGGGAGCTCTATATCTATAATTTATTTGTAAGCATATTATAGTAAATTAATTGGAAGGTATAACATATTCATAATACAACCTATTCATGAAATATGGTTTTTAGAACATTTTTTTTTCTTTCCTTGTCCTCTTCCTGCCACCTCTGGGTGTACAGATATGGACAAGCATCTGAAGTTCTTCTTGTGGCTGATTCTTTATCCCAGATTCAAAGGGAGAAGCTGGACAGGACTTTCTCTCATTAGAGAAAAATACAAGTTAAGAGAGGGAAAAAATGTGAAGATGAAGATAAAGTTAGAAAGGAGATATACTTGGGGTTTAAAAAGAGAAGGAGAGTGATTACAGGTACTTTCACAAAGTGAAAAAAAAACATCGCATTACCCAATAACACATCAGCGGCAAGCAAATGATCCATCACACTATCCAAAATGTAAGTCTGAAATTCTTTTTGCTGAGTTCTTGTAGATCTTTCAGGGGATGCCTAATCAATAAAATTTAAAATTAGAAACAGAACCAACTAAACAAAGACAAGTATTACAAAACTATAAAATTTTAAAAACCTACTGACAAATAAAAAAATATGAGAGATGGTATATATATGATTATACTTTTTCTCTTGTTTTTCTGATCACAGAATAAAAAAAAACAAACCTGACACACTTGAATATTTTCCTCCAAAAAATAGTATTCTAAACATTTTAAGTATTTAATAAATATTTAATAGTTTATTATTATAACCTCACTTCCAAGACAGCTGTAAATTTATTATGAGACTATAAATCATAAAGCCATTAAAACAAACACAAAAGCTCAGGACTCTAGTAATCAAAAGGGTAAAGTCAATGGGGAAAGAAATATTTAAATCAAAAAATTAATTAAGCACACAATTTAGCTCTGAACTTCCTAGGTATCAAGGAGAAAAACAAGACAGTATTGTTCACAAAGCATTTTATTTTCTACAAAGGAAGCACACACTAACACATTGTTATCAAGGATGTTTTCCTAAAATTGTTCTAAGGAATGTTCTCTGTGGGTTTTTATAAAGAGGACAATGAATAACCCTGTTAACAGTCTTCACAGTATTAAATATTTCACAATTTTTACAGTATAAAGATGATTTTAAAAGTTATCTTGAATAAAAGCTTAGGGCCTAAAGCTAAACTACAGTCCTTTGATGGCATTTCTATGGGTAATTAGGGTAATACAGTTCAGGTACATAACTTTCAAGTTCTAACTTGAGTCATGGTGAAACACTAAAAACACAGAGATGAAAGGTAAGAAAGATCCCTTTGTCATCCTTCTCAAATGCTAGTATCTTTAGCTGGCTTTTGATAGGAGTTGTATATTGGAACAATTCAACAAGTTTATATAAAGTTGTTTCTTGAAAAAAAAAGAGATCTGTATGTTCTAGATACATAGTATAGCGTTAATGCTATCCTAGGCATACTACTCAACAGGCACAACATTAATGCTTTGCAAGTGAAATTAAAGAACATATTTCTTCTTACACAGATCCAAGACTATGTTTATGACCATGATACAGAAGTAGACTTTAGACCACTGCTCTGCTTTCTGCATTTAAGATTAAAATTTGCTCCATTTAGAAAAACCATTTCTTTTTACCTTTTTTTCAATATGGTACTGTTAAATATTTTAAAGGAGCAGTTAAAAATCTCAATTCTGTGTTTAGATCAAAGATATTACTCTAAGGATTTGAAAACCAACAGCTAAACCAAAATTCTAATGAACATTTTCCTGTTTTGCTGATAAGACATTATTTAAAAATGATATAATATGGGATTAATAATAGTTAAAAGAATATTGGTGCTTAGGAGTTCCGTTTGGTATTAGAATAACTTGGGGAAAAGTGAAGGACATATCACATTGGTTTTAATCTTCATAAATTTTCCTATGCAGTTGAACAGATGAATGCAATAGTCAGCAAGAGAGTTGTGGCCAAACCCTGCCTCTGCCTCATGCTGAGAGTGACTTTGAGAACCCAGCCCTACCAACTGAAGGGAAACAGAGAACTTTTAAGTGATAAGCAGCAGACTGATAGGTCACCAGATCAGAGATCATTTTATAAAACAGCCTGAGTGATCAAAATTTACTAAGGAGTAAGGCCCTCCACTTTCAGAAAGATTTAAGCACCACTGAAGACAGCAGTGTTCCTTCAGGATCATAATCAACTCAAGAAGGGTAATGGGACAGATAAGCAGTAATGAGTAGGGTTTATCACATATTAACTAGACAGTTTTGGAGTCTGCAAAAGAGACTATAGAACAGAGAGAAGTAGCTTGACCAGTCAACAATATTTATTTGTGCTTAAAATTATAAATATTCTTTTGTATTCTATAAGCATGTAAGCCTGGCTCGGTCACCAATAGGCATTTGATCCTGTGATTCCTCTCATTCAAGTGGTTACATGAGTGATCATGACCCAGAATTTACACTTGTTATTGGTTTTAATTGCTGAGTTCAAATGCTCTAGCTGAGATTTATAGTAACCTTACTTTTCAAGGACTTCAGACTTTATGAAGGCATGCACAGTTGTCTCAGAGGTGCTTGTTTTTTTTTAAAACAATTAAGGGATTACTATTACATACCAAACACAGTAGTTGCTTTTATACACGTTATCTCAATCTGCAAAAAAATCTCTCTGAAGTAGATACCATACCCGTTTTAGAGATAAGGTAACTGAGGCTTCAAGAGGTTAAGTCACTTGGTCAAGCACAAGTAGGATTCAAACCCCAGTTTCTTTGATGCCAAAGTACTAGGCCTCACCTGCTATATACCATACTCTTGGGGCTCTACTAACAATCTCCATGTGGAAGTTATACAAGAGCAACTCTGCTGCAATCTCCTTCCCATTCTTTTAGCCCAGGAGACAACCAGAGTGAGTTCAGGGCAGAGTGAAGAGAGGATGTCTGCTCTAGCCTCTGGCTGTCAGATCCTTCTTCCCTGAAAACAGTGCAGCCAGCCAACATCACCAATCTTTAAAGACTCACAGCCTCTTTTCTGAAGCCTGGGGACACCACACAGAATCTTCACACGCACCCAGGTACCTGCAGCCTCGGTGACAGCCCTGAAGCTCTGGGGGCCTTCTGCTCTGTGTCTGTAATGGTCTGAAGCCTTTAAAGAAGAGGATTTGGGGATTCTTCCCTCTGACTGCAGGATTCCTCAGACCAACTTTCTTCTCTGCTGTTTTATAGTGCTCTCTTTGCCCACTTTTGCCACTCTTCTTTTTTGTGCCAGGCACTGTGTATGAATCCCAAGTATAACAACTTACTTAATTCTCATAATAGTTGGCCGAGACTGTTTCTATTTTAATACTATTTTTAAAATGGGCCAACTGTAAGGGGTAAAGAGAACTGAGCTTGGCCATACAGCTATAACTATCACACATTTAATTTCTCAAAGTAGTTTTTGCTGAGTGATTTACATTTATTTAACTCTTACAACAATCATCCAGGGGAATCTGTGTGTGTGAGTGAGAGTGTGTGTGTGTGCGCACGTGTGTGTGTGTGTCTGTGTATCTTATTCCCCAGAGAACTAATTTACCTCAGTGAGATTAAAATGATTATATAGTAAACAACAGGGACACAATTCAAACCAGGTATTTCTCACTCCAAATCCCCTGCTTTTTCTATTACACCACACTGCCTCCCATGTATCTGGCCTCAGCGTCACACTCAAGCCACTCTACACAAATGGGAATCTTTTACTTTGACAGACTGCTAATAAAGTAACTTCACATGTTCTTTGGTAGATAGGACCAGGTAGATTCTCATATGATGAAATTCCAACAATCACAGACTGAAGATGGACCGGCTCAAGTGTACTGAACTGGACTGAAGAGCAGTTGGTTCAGACCCCTTTCCTCAGGTAGGTAAGACATACAATAATTCACTTTTTGAATTTCGTCAGAGACAAAGTCTTCGTCATCATAACAATCAAAATCAAATGTAGTTTATTTCTTTACACCACAGGAAGACATAGAGTGCAGTAATATTTTCACTAAATATTTTTTGTATGTGTATTCTGTAAATGTGCATTAGATTTGAAGTTCCTCAAAGTATTAAGTTAGTTTTTAAAAGAAAATTTCTCTTATTAGATGGTATTGCACCTTCCTGTTTGAGAACTGCCAGGGACGTAATTACAGTTAAGTGATTTGAAAACACTTAAAAGAACACATCAAATTAGCACTGTGCTAATTTGGTGAGAGGAAAGGACACATGCAAGTTGGTCCCTAACTTTAAGGCCTTTGTAATCTATCAGTGAGCGCCACTACCTCTCCCTGAAATATAACCCTTGCATTGCACCAGTTCCCTAGTACAATCAGACACAATTCCACTATTGGGCAAATTAGCACCCACATGATGAGAATGTTACTTCAAGGTTTATATATGTTATGTGAAATTTTCCCTACTGATAAACACAGAAAACCAAAATAGATGACATTTATATCATTTATCCATGGTAGTTAATTAGCTTTTAGGGATTCTAAAAGACTGAAAATGCTGTTACCAGATTATACACTTACCCCAACTTCCACATATATGTATTTTACTTTTTGGCTCAGTTATGCCTTCTTACACACACCTCTTCTGAACTTTATTCTGTTATTTTCTGATTATCATTTTATTTTGCACAGAATGCTTCAAACTCTTACCCAATACCCTAAGAAACTGGCCCTCTCTTATTTTTGAAGTTTCCGAAGAGGAAAAGCTCTACCAGGCATGCTTTTAAATTCTATCACAAGGATTCTAGACGAAATAACTATTTTTCTGCCAATATCAAACATTGTGATCCTGTTTAAACTGTTAAGCATGACTGGTACTTAAATCAAATAAGCAATGTCTTTCAATTGACCAAACAGACATTTTCATGAGTAAGATTAAAAACATCAGCTGTGGGTTTAAAGTTTCAAATAAGAAGATAACTGTATTAGCCACTAGAGGGAGCAAAGAGCAGGTTTAGTTGTCAAGCTGTTGAGAAAAGGTAGAAGTTGCTCAGAAAGAAAAGTCATCTGTTCTGATTGAATCTTTCATGAAACATTATTTTCAGAACTTTGGCATATACTGCCTAACCCTATTTATATGAATTGGCCAAAAGAATATGAATATATAGGCTACTAATTTTACATTAAATTTCCTTTCTGTGATCTTTATTTTTTCTTGAGATTTTTCTAGGTGAACATTGGGTTTTTAGGGATGGACAATTCCTAAACCCAGCAGTGTGGCCACTTCAGGGCTCATTTTCTGATGCACCAGCTGATTCGCATCACTTATCGAGCAAGTGCAATGCACTAAATGTTTATCCCACACCTCCTGCCCCACACCCACAGTTCAAGGGCAAGCCCTAATTCTCAATGTGATAGGAGTAAGGGGGAGAGCCTTTAGGATGTAATTAGGTTTAGATGAGGTCACCAGGGTAGACCCTTCTGCGGGGATTTTTGCTCTTATAAGAAAAGGAACAAACACCAGAGCTCGCTTGTGCTCTCACTCAGCCATGTGAGACAGCGAGGCAGCCATCTGCTAGACTGGCACCTTGATAGCAGAGGCCACCAGCACCTGGCCCCTTGATAGCAGACTTCTCCGTCTCCAGAATTGTGAGAAATAAATGTCTGTTTTCAGCCACTCAGTCAATGGTATTTTGTCCTACCAGCCTGAGCTGACCAAGATATAGCAAGCAACCTGGACGTTTGCTGCCTGAAGTAAATCCAGGAAGTGCCTATGGAACTCCTACTAGGTACAATGAATTTATGTCATAAGCTGCAATGGGTACTAAGAGTAGCAATACCAGCAATGATACTTAAGAGGGAGTTATAAGCTGAGGAGACAATGCTGCTGTAAATGTCTAGGGAAGGAGTTGGCATGCTAAAGCCCATGGGTCACATCCACCCTGTGCCTGTTTTTGTAGATAAAGTTTTACTGGAACAGTTATGCTTATTCATTTATGTATGGCTGCTTTCTAGCTACAATGGCAGAGGTGAATAATTGTGACAGACTGTATGGCCTGCAAAATGTAAAATACTATTTGGCCCTTTACAGAAAAGTTTGTAAATTCCTGGTCTAGGAAAATGGTAATAAAGGACTGAATCAGGGACATACTTGCAGAAAATGTAATGAAGAGAAACAAATTGGTAGGGTACATGGTACATCTGGGATAAAAAATTCCCATAGCCCATGTTATGTTCTGCTATACAACCCAGAATTAGAAATCTGAAAGGTATTCTGCATAAAACTTGCTTGGTTACTAATGTTCTAATCATAGAAACAATGCCAAAGAAAAGAAATGCATTTCTTAGTCTTTACCTCCAACAAAAGATCAATTAGTGGAGTCTGCTTGCTGGCAGGGGTAAGACAGAGGTTGTCTATTATTAAGACCCGCATGAAATCAAAAACGAACTTTTTAGCTGGGTGGTTGGTCAGATACGTCTTGGCGCCCACATTGCAGTACTCTGACTGGCTCCTGTTCATCCCTGTGTCTGCTGCAAAGGCTTTAAATTCTTCTGCTGGAGATCCTACTTCATCATCGAGATCAGTCACCTGGTAATATCAAGTGGAAATACATGCTAGTCACATTCAATTTTGGTATTTTTACTTCTGCATCTCCCAAAAACCAAACTATAGAGCAACAGTATTTTCTTTCAACATTTACCTCCTACTAAGCTACTCAATGATTACCCCACTTTGTTTTACTTGACCCTCCTTTCAAGATAGTGATCAGGTACAGTATGTCACAGTTACTCAACACATGCTTCTAATATCAAACTACTGACTGGCCACTAACCATGTATCTGTTTTATGTTGAATTTTATTTCTATTATGGAAAACTACATTTAAAATAAACTAAATGATGAGAATGACTGTACCTGCATATTTGAAATATACCTACTGAGAAGCCAAAAGTCAAATAATTTCAGATAAAGATCTGGCATAATGATAACACCTAGGACTGACCCATTTCTGCAGCTTAAAAAAAAACCAAAAACAAAACAACAACATAACTAGTGTCAATTCTGAGCCACTAGGAAAAAGAAGATAGAATAGAAGAGAGATTACAAGATGTTGACAAGGAAGACATTGAGATATTATTGAAAGTCTATTTTAACCAAAAAGGAAGATTATAAAATTATAAACAAGTCAGAGTTTTAAGGTCATATGCTGTACTTGTCTTAAAAACTGCCACAATTTTAGAATGAATAATTCACCTTTATACATGAAGAAAAATTAATATGAAGGTAGGTTTTTAAAAAAATGTCTTAAATTTTTTTATCAAAGAATAGTTGATATACAGTATTATATTGGCTTCAAAAGAACTCCAGGTCCTAGAGTAGATGGTGGAAATAGGGAAAACATCATAAAATTCTGAAGTACTCTGGAGGAAAGACTCTTATTTGGGCTTGTTTGAAAGGACAAAAGAAGCATCAATCCTATATATGTTTACAGTGTATTAAATTAGTACAGAATATGAAAAATTCAAGTTGGACAAAATAAGAATTGAATGGAAAAGACAAACATATTTCATTTTTTATAAAGATAACCAATCCCATAATTTATTTGCAAAGACTAAAGATAGGAAATGCCTCATTCCTGAGGTAAATAGAGATAAATTGGTCTGATTGGTCGGACTGGAGTTCTGTAACCTGGGAAGAACATTTCACAACTACATAGCTATCATCACATTAAAGTAAGAAATGGATCTACAACAACTTGGGGAGGGAAGTTACTAAAAACGGACTTAGAAGAATATGATAAATGAAAACAGAGGTAGAGTTCACTACTATTTCAGGGGAAAGCAGGAGAGTTGGTGGGGCGGGGGGGGAGGTCAGATGCCAGATGGTGATATAAGAGGTGAAGCAGAGAGTCATGGGGCTGTGACGTGGTCAGAAGCTTCAAAGAATGGCAAAAAAAAAAAAAATCTGCTAACCATTGGAGCAGACTAATTGCAGTTTGACATTTTCCTCCCCCTTTCCTACCATCTCCGAGTAAGGGCGGATGTTGAAGGGGAAGACGGTTGCTGCTAGAGCGCACAGGAAATCAGGGCTCATCCACATGGAGGCCAGGTCTGGGACGTTGTGATATAAGTATCTGAAGAACTGCATCAGGGTCACCGGGTATTCTCGGAGCCAAGATCCCTCCTCTTCTGACTGCCAAGGCTGCCGCAGGGACAGGAAAATAAACGGTATGTTAAAGACACTGACACTAAAAATTACTTTAAACTCCAAGATATCTCACTCTTCCTTGGAGTACTCACAGCTCCATCCATAACTGGAGTCAGTGGTTTTGATTTTCATTATTCGGCATGACTACAGCCCACAGCGGCTGTGTCACCAACAGAGCTCCCCATCCTCCAGCCCGCCAGAGTAGGGAGTGAGGTAAAAGATGGGGAAGTTACTGCGCTTCTCTGAGCCTCACTCTGTAACATGTAAAATGACAAGAATAGTGCTCTTAACCATTCAGCAATGTGATACTGTGATTTATAATAAGAAATACATATGTGGTTTTTGTCCCATTCCTGGCACAGAGCTCCAGCACCCTTAGAATTTCCTAAGTGATGAGAGCCATCCCAGTGCCTTTTTGGCGGTCAGAACAGCCCCTTTCAACCACAACCAAGTTAATGCTACTGAGGTGACTCTGGGGAAGCATGTGAGGATAGAGTCGCCCAGGGGAACCAAACCATATGATCAGGAGGTTGGAACCTTCAGCCCAAAAGCTCAACATCCCCCAGCCTCCAGGAGGGGAATGGGGACTGGAGATTTCGCTCAAGCACTAAATGACCAATGATTTAATCAGTTGTGTCTACATAATGAAGCATCCATAAAAAAACAGAAGGAGAGGGTTCAGAGAGCTTCTGGGCTGGTGAATACATGGAGGTGCTGGAAAAACACAGGTTGGAGAGGACATGGAAGCTCCATACCCCTTCCTACATACCTTACCCTATGAAGCTCTTCCATCTGGCTGCTCCTGAGTCCTATCCTTTTATCATAAACTAGTGATCTAGTAAGCAAAATGTTCACCCAAAGTGCCAGTAACAACCTGGACTTGTGATTGGTGTCTGGTAAGTCTTGTGGGACTGAGCCCTTAACGTCTGGGATCTGATGCTATCGGCAGATAGACAGTGTCAGGACAGAACTGAACTGTGGGACACCCAGTTTGTGTGGCAACTCCCCTCTACCCCCCAACATATTTGATGACTTGAAGCATCAGAAGTAAAGCAGTATTGTAGCAGAATACTGAGAATAGAGAAGACACACAAGAGTGTGTTTTTCCTTAAGAGCAAAACAACAGAAACAATTACAGAAAAGTTAAGAAAAACTAATATATTTGAATAATGCCTACCTTCTGATACTTGCCCACAGAACGGTGTTTTTTTAAAATCTTAGATTTGTTTTGTATTTGTCTATGAATAGGAACCAAAACAAAACTCCCCAAACATTCTAAATTAATACATTTAATCATAATGTTTTCTAAGATTGCGTAAGAATAGCTTTGACTAAGAATAGTTAGGTGCTAGGAATCCAAAGTGTCTCATTAATAATTCCTCTTACAATGTGGTCCTGAATTGTGTAAACAAATTAAGTCATTATTCACAGTATTCCTAGAAGATAGGTACATACATTTTCTCATTCAGTCTTTCAATTCTTCATATCTAAGAAAAAATTAGAAAAACCAAAAATAGATATAAAATAAACTAGCCCTAACATTAACCTCTAAATCAAAGTGTTTTAGAAGTTCAAATGATGTGTTATTTTAATGACATATACTACAATAAATATTCATTATATATGTGTATACATTGTAATGTGTGTTTTATAGCATTAACATCAGTTAACAATCACAAAGCACTTACTATATACTAAATACTCGTTAGTGCTTTGTGTATACATTAATTCATTAAATCCTCACAGCAACCCTAAGAGATAAAATTCTATTATAACTAGCATTTTATCCATGAGGAAAATGAGGCACATAGAAGCTAGTATGTCTGAAGTACCAGAGATGGGGTCCGAACCCAGGCGGGGCTCCAGAGGCCATGGTCTTAACAACTGTGCTATCTGTCCTTACAGGAGGGATAACAAAACAGAGTTAAGTTTCCAGAGACCATGCAGTAAATAGGTAGTTATGATACCAAAGGCATCCTCTATGTAAAAAAAAATACCACAGGCAGGAAGATCTGTCAAGAAGCAACCTCGCTCAGTAAACTTACTGAGTTGAGCATGCTGCGGAGCATTCCCAGTAATAAAAAAGCAGCTTCTGTGCACACGTTGTGGATAGAAGAGACCACAGTTCCACAGGAGGCAGGGACTCCAAAGATAAATGTCCAAATGGAATCTAAATCAAACTGCAGAGGTAAAAGTGAATAAAGATTAGCCACTGTTGATTTTTTTCAGGAGAGACCCTCATGAGTTCTAATATTCTAAAATTTCTTCGAAACTAATTCATGCTTTTGATAAAGAGTAAAAGACCAGAACTTCTCCCTTGTATATTTAAAACTCATTATTACATTTATGAAGAATATGTGAATACTATCCATCATCCTTTCTTAGATTCCTATGCTAACAACATTGTTTTCCACTTTCTTTCTCTAAAGAAAACCAAAAAATAAAATATATGCCAGAAGATGAAATAACAGAACTGATGATTTTAAACAGGATTTAACAGTACACCCAATTCACTTTTAGATTATATACAGATAAGATCTGACAAAATAAAAATCAGTTGAGATTTATTCACAGCAGTTTTATGTAACACTTTACGATGTGGTACCATGCTTATTTTGAAAATTACATAACCAATCAAACTCTAAGCATGAATCTGTATCTTGATTTAAGGTAAGGATATAGATTTTGTGTTTTAATTTAAAAGGTTTTGTCAATTGCTAGAACTGATCTGAATTGCATTTGGTACAATGATGGAAGTAGAGTTCAATTCCAAAGTAAATTCCTACCCTTGCCATGCCACAAAAATAAGCTATGTACAGGTACCCACAAGTCTTCACCATTAGAAATCAAAGAAAGCCTTACTGTTTGCCTAATGTGGATATTCTCTTTCATTAAGAAATTCAAAATATTTTTCTCATCAGAACTTATACTAAGAATCCTGTCACACCCACCCAAGTAATTTATGGCATACATTACACCCCATTTTTAATTTCACAAAAACGAAATTATATTTCTAGATTAAAAAAATTACATAACTCAAAATAATTTTTTAGATTACCAATATAATCCAAAGTCTTTTATGCACATATAATCACAGAGTAACCATAAAGAAAAAAAGACCAATGGGGAGAAAGGACCTCTGGAAAAATTTTCTATGGGATTTTCAGATTTTTCTGTCCTAAACAAAATCCCAAATGTCAGAAAGGGATGGAATCAATTGTGATTAACCCCTAACCCTATGGTGATTTTTTTGGTGTGTTTAATTACATTTATACCTTACTAGATAATTCCTACCTGGCAACCCTGCTTACATCGGCTGCTGGTGACAGGCACACTGACCTGCAGGTTCTCAGGCAGCTCACTAACTGGCTGCTGCAGAAACAATGCCATGAGAAGAAAATAGAGAGCGGGGACATTAGTGTGTTTGGGAAGGAATGACTGGAGAACTGGAAAACCAGGAGAATGACAGGCATCCCGGTTAATCTCCCTGACCGTTGATCTCCCACCGGCACTCCTGCCCACATTGAATCCTAAAAGAGGAAATTTAACAGTAAGTATAAAACTAATCATCAACTACCACACTACATTAACAAAAGGAGTAATTCAGTATATGTAACATTTCCATCCAGAACACTCATATTAATATAGTCAATTAACTACTCAATTGCTAAAATTAATCTGTGAGTCACAAGTTTTACTTTACTATGTCTTTGACTTAAGCAAGCCTATCTACTAGGATATAGGTCTTGAAAACATAGCTGACACAGTCAGATATGAGAGGTAATATAAATTCTACTCTTAAAAGAATTATCTCAAAAGAGCTCTCACATTTCCCTAAGAAGGTAAAATGCAAAATATAAGCAAAATTCAGGATGCTACAAAAATGTAACTTAAAAATATAATTGCTACAATATACTTAATATATTTCGATTATCCAGAAAACCATGATAAAACTAGCTAACCTAAAATAATCTACAAATTTAAAGACCAAGTGAATAAGCAAAAGAATCTTTTCTTACAGCATGGTCTGTAATTCTGATGGAAGGTTGCCCAGCAATGGGACAGCAAATCTGAGCTCGCTGTGACTGTGGCTACCTGAACATCCAGAGCCCTTTCTAGAAATAGAGCTCTACCAGGAAATGGTTGTTTCTTATTACTGTAGGTTACAGCATCAACCTATCAATCCTGTTTCCTCAGTTACATAACTAATTTCAGGAGCCAGCTCAAGCGTTTAGTTCTTTTGCCACCCAAACCTAGTAGAGTGCTCAATGCAGGATAAACAGTGGCCAGTCTCAAAGGAAGACCTTAGTGAAATGATTAAGTAAGCACATACTTGATACCATTTATATAAAAGAGAAATTTGTGTCCAGGTGGCATTTAAAATATTTTATCCTAACCAACTGCTCAGTGTGATGTGAATTCATCTTTTGATGTGTGCTCTTCTAACAAAAATTTTTACAGCAATCTATGAACATTTTTCATCTCATTTCTTAAACACAGTGAACATGTGAATTAGAAATTGCTACTATCCTTTTTGTAACATAAAAAATACGCAATTTGTTGAAAGTTGTGAAGTTAATGAGTGGTGGCACTAGGACTTGTTCCTGGCATCACTCTTTTAGAGCCTATAAGGTATTCTGCAGCCCTTGGCCTTCTTAATGACATCGCCACATTTCTGAAAGACTGGCTGCATTAGGACACTGGGTGATTTTGTTAACAGTGAATTCTAAATGAATTTCTAAGTTTAAAAAACTCTAGAGCTTTAAGAGCTTTTGAATAAGAAATCAAAAGACAAAGCATATTTTACACATTAACTAGGAAATAAATTTTGATTAAACTACAGGTCCTTAATGAAAACCAATAGTGGCATTTACCTTCCTAAATTCTCATACTCTGTTTTTCCCTATAATTACTCTTAAGGAATACTTAATATGTTACAACATACACACACACACACACACACAAATATATATGGTGTATATACACACATATGATTGAGATAGATACTCAGACAAAATGAAATTGTGAATCATCTTTAAATTAAACACGTAAATTTCTCATTCTGAACCAGAGCAGTATATGCACGGTGTAAGCAGGTATCAATGAAGGACAAAGAAATTCTAAGGTATGAAGTTAGGACGCTCAGACAGTAAAAGCACATTTTTATGATGTGAAGTGATGTAGGGCAGGAGGAAAGATAAGACTAACAGAAGACAAATACTTACACATTATTACTATCTGACTCAGGAACCTTATGTATGTAACAGTCTTAACTTCCTAGTTAAGGAAATTAATCCTTAATGTGTATTTGTCAGGCTTACTTCCCATAAAACAGAACCTATATACCATAAAATATACTTTTCTCTGGAATCATTAAGGCCAAATGAGATGATATATGCTAAGGAATCTTGCAACATGAAAGACTGTGCTATATGGATCTTAGGTGTTATAACTATTGCAGTGTTTGGCCTTCAATGAGAAGCAATGCTGTCAATTAGCACTTAAAACTCTCATATTCAGTTGTGCTTTCTCACTGTTTATTCTGTAAGTAGCTATTATTAAAGTCATTAAACTAAGTTTCTTGCTACCAAACTGTTTTATAATAATAATGTTTGTAGGCTATATTCCTCCCCTTAGAGTCAATGCATATCTATGAAGATAATTTAAAATGCACATTTTAAAGCAGACAATTTTGAGAAATCATTTGTTGAGTTTTTCTTCACATAGTTTCTTCAGACATTTCCCACATGTGAAATGACAACAATCCTATGCTGTAAGCTGTCTTATCATTTGCTTCAATATTTGACAAAGTAGTGCAGATAGCACTGAAGTCCTGATACTTTTATTTTTTTTTAAGTTGCACATTAAATTCTAATCCCTAATTTCCTCACTTGACAAGACAAAGTCGGTATAGTCTTGATGTTTGTTGCACAATACAATTATATAAGATTTTGACTGTAATAAGGACAAATATATTTTTTAAATACTTTAAGAACTGAATTACTATAATTTTCAGTAAAAACATTATCTTAAATATCTATTTTTTAAAGTAAGATCATTAGTATGAGCAAAAATATAGTAGCTCAAATGAATTTAACATAGGAAAGTATAATTTCTATACTTAAACATTTAGTTCTGTGTTTGAAACAGCATAAAACTAGTTGTGTTTTGGCTGAATAAGGGGCTTTGGCTGAAACTGAGCTTGAATCCTCGAGTGGCAGTATAACCTAAATGTTAAGAAAGTATACGCTTTGGATCTGAGCAACCTGGATTCAAATTTTGACACCCCTTAGCTGGTGAGTGACTTCACCCCTATGTCTTTGCTTTCTCGTGTAAAATGCATATGACAGGTAACATTTACACCTTGTAGGGTTATGGTGAAAATGAAATAAGTAATTGTGGAAATCAAAGTATTTAGTAACTAGCACAGAATAAGAACTCAAAATACTAATCATTATTAATTCAATTCTGATAATTAGTAAACTATTTATGTAGAGATCAGAAAAGGAAATATACAACAAAAAGATCACAAGGAATTTCCTTGAATTTTCACATCTTAATATCCTGTTTCTGACTTGTTTGTTTGATTTGCAATTTAAAAAGCCAAATTTGAACCTTTATAAGCTTTTTATCTTTCATTAATTCATGATAAACTTATGATTCTTACTGCTTGTCAGATTAACTGAAGAGTATAATCTTACATAAGGCTTAAAAATAAAACAAAACACAACAGCCTATTTTAAAGCCACAGACTGTGGAAGTCGCATACCTAACACAGTTCCGATCTTATTAGTTAAGACAGAATCCGTCTGCTCCAGCCACCCCCCACCGCTGAGTCCCTCCTTAAACTTGATAAGCACAGACTGATTGCTCAGCAGGACAACGAGGACCCTCACGGCCGCTGTGACTGTGGTGGGGTGCAAGTGCTCCTCCATGAACATCGTGATCCAGTCAAAACCCAGGGTCTTGACCAGTTCTTCACAAGCTCTGTTCAAAAAAACAGATTAAAAGATAAGACGAAACACACTGATTTCAAGGATTATGACCTCAAGTTACAAAGAAAAATAAGATTAGGTTTTATATAAATTTCAGGGTCTATAAAAAATCTATTATATTATATTGTCAATGGCAATTCTTTCATCTACTATGGATTAACTAGTAAGAACAAATGGTACTATCAATTCTGAAAAGATTTTACTTACTGCAAATTAATGCTTGTCTTTTCTTTAGATGTGTAAACTAGTTTTAGCAAGATATCTAGAAGTCTGTTCCTCAAAAGTATAAGATTAGCAGATACAAGACCTCCGAATTCTTCTTCAGTTCCTACAATGAAAATAAATACATTAAATTGCTCTAGCAGATAAACTACGATAAAAAAGCCAACACTGTTTCAGATAATCTGAATGGAAAATAAAACTTTAAGAAAATACTTTCTCTAGGAATACTTTTCATTAAAGTGGGTAACAAAAAGGGCCTATTAAATCCTTTCTCTTTGGAATCTTGAAAATTGTTCATTTATATCTGACATTATTCTAAACAAGTGACTATAAAGTCTGTGAGCCCTTTTTACATTAATATTCCACTCCTTTACCAATGGGGGGTGGTAATCAAATATGGATCACGTGATTAAAATAGTCCAAATCCTTAATTTCCACATTATTTTTGAAGGACATAAATAAATTTACCAGTTAAAATAGGAAGCATATTAAGTAAATATGATTCATAAAGGAAAGTTAGAATTAAATAGCATACAAGAGAAGCAAAAGGCATTCAAATGCACAACAGAAATAAGAAAGGGGAGGAAAACAGTAAGCTTATGGTTCTCAATGGACAGTGGCTGGGAACACAGAGGACTGAGCATCAATGGCCCAGTGTTCTAGGTCTAATTCTGACACTGACAGGCTATGGAAAATAAAACTTTAAGAAAATACTTTCTCTAGGAATACTTTTCATTAAATCACATTAAATAAATCACAATCCACATGCTTTCCCTTATTCCAGAATTAAAGCTCAAGCTAAATTTTACCTACCATGTTTATATGCTTTTACTTGTCTGGGCAAGGGGCTGTTTTTACCTTTAAACACTATTGTTTCAAAATGCTAATTTAGTGTCTTTATTATTGGGGAGGGTGCTTTAAGCTTACCAAGGGGAGCTCATGATTATCTCCCCTTCTAAGATGCATAGGACCCATCAATTTATAAATTTCCTTATGGAAGCATATTACACAACCTAAATCAATACAGGAATTATTTCCTTTTTTCAATTATTTCCTTTCAATAAAATGACAATCTACACAGAAATGAACAATTCTCCTTAGTTTTTATGTCTGGCTTTCTTTCAGTTATGCTTCTCCTAATTTTTAAATATTGTTTAAGACAATTAACTCTGAAAAGAATTTCCAGGTTAACTTCTTCCCACTCAATATGATACTTCATTCCATACTGCATTGCCTTTTATGTTATTTATTTCATTTTGCAGTGATTATTATTATCACCATTCAGCAACATTCAAACCATTTTCTTTTTTGTAGGTATGCTCTGAATACTGTGTAAGCTATTAGAAAGAAAAAAGTATGGTTTTACATAATTGGAACATATTATACTTAATATAGTCTTCAGTTTGTAGCAAATAAACAATAAATGTTATATATTAACAAGACCAGCAATGTGTTTCTGATTTCCTCTATTATTTTAAAGGGCAGTGATGTGATGAGGAGAAGACTAATCAACCTGTCAGGTGAACAAAAAAATTGGCAATTTATACATCTTTCCCACTACGGTCTTAACTAACGGAATTTTTATAGTACTTGCTGTGGTTACTGAATTCAAATGGTCAAGAAGAAATACAGAGAATAGAGAAATATTTTCCTACATATTTTTTATACTTGAAATAGATGCATCATGTTTCCAAAGATTTTTAAAGTACTTTTTGCTTTCTAGTTCCTGTTTAATTGGCATATATTAATTCAGAACTTAAATACAATCTTTGCATATGGTAGAAAGATACAGTGGTTAAAAGCTTAGAATGTTGGTGCGGACTACTTGAATTCAAATGCAGTAGCATGCTCTCAGGTGAGTTTCTTCTGCTTAACCCTTCTGGGGTTCAGTTTTTTTCCTTGTAAAATTGGGATAACAACAGTACCTATTTCATAAGGTTCATAATATTACAGGAAGCACCTGAACAGTGCATGGCAGATATTAAGCACTCAGTGTTATCCACTGATTTGATCTTTATGCTCCCCATCCACTGCAACTTGCTTTACCAAAGAAATGTCAACCAAATAAGTAGGCAGTAGTTTAAGCAGTCATTGGTCTTCTGTGATATGTAGGAAGTCACTTAGCCTCTCAAATCTCTTAGTTTCTCCTTTGAAAAACATGTTTATACCATTTCTCTTCTTACTCAGAAAGCACTGGAGAGGCTGTGCTCTGGATAGTACAGCCAACATGGAGAACTTCTTTATGGGGCACTGAAGTAAGAGTCTTCTTCTTCACCCTCAGGTTGCAAGTGTTGTAAGGGTGTAAAGGAAATCATTTATATGATATTATTTTGGAATAACATAACAGGATAAAAATGTAAATAATGCTGAACAAATATAGATATTCTGAATTTAATTACAGGTCAATCTAAAAGGTACTTTTCAATGCTTTCCAAGAAAATCTCCTGTCCTAGAATACATAACAGGAAAAATATATTGGGAAAAAAAATGCACCAAATGAGGTAAATTAAAAGGAAAAAAATTGTCACAGGTCCATAATCTCAAAACTTATGAAATCACTGTTATATAAAATAATTGTAGGAAAATGTTCTTTCCTTAAGTGACTACTAAATATTTAACAGAGAAATGAAAATAATAGTAATATAGATATAATTCACATCAGCAAGTGACTGTTTCTGAAGAGACATATAGAAACTTATAAAAATCAAAAACTATTCAGAAATCACAGAGTAAGAGTCTGTTATTTAAAGGAACATTTCTATGAATTCTCTAAAAACAGGAAACTATTTTATTTCTAGTAAAATACATACCCTGTTAAACTCTGTAGGTAATTCTGTACTTGTGCACACTGTACTGGCTTGATTAAACATGAACACATTTGTGAAAGACCAAAGCAAGTAATGTAAGGAGAAAAGTAACATAATAGTATCACATATAATTTACGTCTACCTGTGCCAGATGAAAATAAGGTAGTCATTAGTTGTCAAGTTCCAGCATTGACTCACCAGTGTCAAGCTTCTCTTCGTGCTTTATTTCCATAACTACAAATTTCTCACAAACTGCAAAGGTTGGTAAAGTAGAAGAAATAAACTGGCCAAACCTTTAAATACAAGAAAAAAAGGTGATGGATTTTATTTTTTCTCTCCTTAAA